TTCCAGGTGTGAAGGTAGATCGAGGCTGGTTGAGAAAACTATGCAAGAACAGGGTGGAATCTGACCCGTGACTCTGTGTGCTGCTATGTTGACATTGGTTGGTGTTTACCTAGCACTGGAAGTAGCCAGCAAAGGACTTTAGCAACAACATGTAGGTGTGAAAAATCTTTCAAATACATGATGACAGCTCTATTCTCTCCCCCAGACTTTACGTGCATGTGTCCATATAGAAGTGTTATTCATATTACAATATATTTGTGTCCACACAAATGTATACATACCACATTTGTATCTCTGTGTCTTGTGTGTTACCTGTTCATACATAAGCAGCAATGGCCATGAAAATTATTTATTCTAGGATATTAGCAGTAAAAGTACATGGACAGAGATCATTTCCTTCTCATTTTCCTCTATTCTAAAAATAACTTTATGAACAGCTAATATATGAACAAGGTAAAAAAAATAATTAATTAGCATGGAATTAAGTGAAAAGTGAATCTTCCTTCCTCTGTCCCAGAAGTGATTATTACTAGTTCTTATGTCTTCTTCAAGAGATATTCTATATATTTAAATAGAATATATACACACACATATCCCATTTTTTAAAAATTTATTCTTTTACACTAATGAATGGGAGGATTCAAACAGGAAAATCTGTAGCTTTTTACATGAGCTTCATGTTCAGCCCCTTGTGTGTAAAGCGCAAACTCCAGCACACATATTTGTGTCTGTGATTTACACATGCGTAGGGTTTGTGCCGAAGGACAAATTCTTTGTTGTAAGAAAATTTTGGAACATAGAAAACTGATTTCCTTCCCAATTCATCTGGTTATTAATCTTCTTAAAAGCTCAAGGCAAATAAAAATCCCATATCTGAGACCACAAAGGTATCCCAGAAGCAGATGAGAATCATTCCCGTGAAGCTGTCTTCACTTTCTGATTTGTCATCAATCCTTCAGGAAAATCCAGGAAAGGTTTATTTAGTACAGCTCTCTGCTGATTTTATAACCAACTGCTGACTGCTAGGGACATAAAACTCTTGATGATTTACAAGTAGTAAATGGGCAGGAAATCCATAAATCACATCTTATTATAAGAGAGCATTAGTGAACACACACGTACACACTCACACACAATCTTACACATATCCACCTTCAAAGGAAGAGTTGTAACACATCCAGAAAATATATTCGTTTTTAATTTGAAGAGAATTGAGAAATCACTGGCAAGAGGTCTGCAATCAATAACCTCTGAGAGTTAAATTGTACCAGGTATTATTTTAATGTACAACAAGAGGCATTGCCCTTTATTTCTTAAAAAGGAGCCTCTGGTTCCCACTTCTGAGATGTTCAAATGAGTTCTTATTTTCTCTGAAGGGAAGAACTTTTTTTTCCTAAAAAGTTTGCTGACCAAGTCAAAAATACTAAAGGTTGTCAGAGTTTTCTGATACTCTTGAAACTATTCTGGAACAGATATTTCTCAGGATATCTTTTTCATTTTATGTGTATATTTTTTTCTAGGCCTGTGTTTAGAAAAATCTCTAATAATATGTTAAAAGTAGGAAAGATAAATTTCTAATTCCAGAGGTGTTCCAGAGCTTCAGGGAACTGACAGAGGAGATATGAAGTGAAAAATCTTGTAAAACATTTTTGTTTGTTAAGTGAAATTTAATAAGTATGAATCTGCTGCCATGAATAGTTTGCCAACTGTCTGCCTCCCAAAATATAGTATAATACAGTTAGAAATTTAGATAAGTGCATTTGGCAAAAAGCTAATCTCATTTGGATCCTGATGCAAAAAAAGCAAAGAAGAACTAATAAAAAATAAACACAGAAAATTAGGGAAAGTTGAATACTGACAATATCTGATGATGTCAAGGACCTATACATTTTTTAGGTATAATAATGGTACATTTTTCTGAGTCCTTATGTTTTAAAGATACACAATGAAGTATTTTAGGATGGAATGATTTGATGGTTTGGGTTTGCTTTTTAAAAATCCAGTTGGATTATATAAACATTAAATCATTATGTTGTATACCTGAAATTAATATAATGTTGTATGTCAGTTTTACCTTAATAAAGAAAAAAACCTTTAAAAAATAAAATAAAGAGGCAAAAACCCATGTGAAAAAAAGCAGCCAGTTGGGGAATTGCGGGCCTGCATATAAATGAAACAAGTTGGGGCCTAGCTAATGGCCATGCTGGGTTTCAGATACTATTCTCTCTACTCTTGTATTTGTAAATTTTTGTACTGTAGAAAACAACCACTAAGCTGAGCTAGAGAGACCCCCGATTATCTATTTAGAAAGCTCTTCATTTATCATTTCACACTTTTTATCAGCAGTAACAGAGGTGAGATGTGCACCGGGCTGTCCCTGGGGTCTTTGGTGCAGCTGGAGTCTCAGCCTACAGCTCCCTGGTTGCCGTGACAGGCAGGGACCCTGCTAAGGACTAGGCCCTGCCACCTCCATGAGAAGCAGGAATCTCCCTTCTCTCAGTGGGTAAGAGGGCAATTAATCCAGTTACTGTGAGGAGCTTCTGTTTGGGGGAGAAACACCAGCCATCCAGGATGTGGGGCTTCAGCACAAGTGTACTCTCAAGATTGAACAGTAAACAAGGCCACTGAGGAGTCAGAGGTCAGAAGCTGAAAACAGAGCGCCCCAGCCACCTCTTCACAAGCAAGAGGCTTTATTTTTATACTGTAGTGTGCGCCCCCTCCCCCCAAAAAAGAGGGAAGAGCATTTAAAGGGCTGGTTTTGTAGCAGAGAGCTGCCTGTTGCATTTGAAACTTAGACCCATGCCTGGCTCCAGGTCCGAAAAGGGAAAGTGACTACAATCTCTGGGAGCACGCTGCTCTGCCCCAGCCGCCCCCACCAGTCCAGCAGCAGGGAGTGAATGCCCACCGCACTGCACAGGCCATCCAGCCGCTCTCTTCAGTCTCTCCAGCAGAAAGGCCCAGTCCAAATCAGCTCCTGGGATCTCCATATAATGTTTCCATATAATGGTAACTTTTTAAGAAAACGGTTTCCTTTGATTATCAAGCCTTTAGCTTTATTTTGAATTCCATATGGATCACCAGAGGACGCCCACCCACAGCTGAGGGCGGGGAAGATGATGCCTCCTGCTGTTCTGGTCACTTAGATCTAAGCTATGCCAGCAAGGTCAGTATCACACCCCATGTGACTCTGGGTCTTGGCCTGATTGGTAAATGTTCAAAATCTGGTGGCAGCTCCCTCCTCAGTACCTTCCCAGTTACTTTTCAGACACAGACTGAAATGTTGCACAAGGCTGATAAGGCCCCACAGGTTCTGGCCTGGACACCAAACCTTTCAGCACATGTGTAAAGCCAGGGCTACTTCCCACAGTGATAATCTCAGGGTGGATAGTATAGCCAGGGCCTGACAGGTATCCCCAGAGCACAGCCTCCATTCACCCTTGACAACGTATTGAAAGAAGTGAGGAAAGGCAAATATCCAGACGATGGAGCAGTAACTCCACCAGGAGTGTGTCCTTACTGGTCAAAGAACCAAACCTTTCAGCACATGTGTAAAGCCAGGGCTACTTCCCACAGTGATAATCTCAGGGTGGATAGTATAGCCAGGGCCTGACAGGTATCCCCAGAGCACAGCCTCCATTCACCCTTGACAACGTATTGAAAGAAGTGAGGAAAGGCAAATATCCAGACGATGGAGCAGTAACTCCACCAGGAGTGTGTCCTTACTGGTCAAAGAGATCAAGCAAGGACCTGGTTTTGGAATCCAAGAGCCACTCATTGGGCTTCCCATCCTGCTAATGCCTGCAAGCTCCAATAAGGATAAAAAAAAAGATCATTGTGGGGCTGTCCTAAAGCAAGAGAGCAGTGAATGTAATTTCTTAGGCACTGGAAGGCAACTTGTTTAAGGCTATAGCAGCATGAAACAGAAAGGTTTCCACAGCCTGCAAGGTGGTTCCTAAAACTGCCTCCCACTCGGGATTTGCCAGGTGTCTCCCTCCTCTTTTCCTAGATATTTCTTCAGCTCCTCGGACAGTCCCCAGAGATTGAGAGATACCAGTCATGTGGCCATTCAGGTGAACCGTGCTCTCAGGTTATGCCAGGCAGGGCCCCTGACTCCACTCCGCCAAGCAAGCCCTCATGACCTACACAGCTAGGAAGCCTGATTTCCCCCTAACAGCTCTAGGACCCCTCATGAGTGTCAGAGAATGACTGATCGGTACCTGTCTCCCCAGCTAGACTAAAAACCCCACAGAGCAGAACCGTATCTACTCTTCTGTTTGTTTGGCTTTTCACTTATATTCCTATGTGATGGCCTGGTCCTGACACAAAGTAGGTGCTCAATAAATAAATGTTGAATGAATGAACAAATTCACATCTTTTAACCTCCTGGCTGTTGCAGGCCAGCCTCCCACCTCAAGCTCCTGAAGCCCGTTAGTCTGATGCGCTGCCTGAAGCATCATTACCTCCCTGTTAGCACCTGTTCTTGTCTAGGAACAAGGACAGTCAATGCTGAATGACTGTAGTTTCTGCTAAAAACTCCCAAGGGCCATTTCCCTGTACATGAGACACCTGGCATCACAGAAACAAGTTGGCTGTCCTACTCACCTAGCCTCCACACACACACACCCTGTCCTAACATCTCTCTCCAACTTGAGCTTTCCTTGATGCTTATTATAACCCAAAGTTGGGACTATAAATCTATGGGGTGGGAAAACGTGAGGAGGGCAAGGGGGGAAGGAGGGAGGTATGCAGGGTACCGAGTGTCATTGCTGGTAGCCAGGCCACTGGTGATGCTCAACCATGTCCCCGTCACCAAACTTTCTCCCCAAAACCAATGGCCCACAACCAGGAACACACCCAGTATTTCATAAGTATGTTGAGTATAAAGCTAGTTTCCACAAACTGAATCATATTTTTCCATCATCTTCTATCATCAAACATGAAAATTAAGTTTTCATATAAAGAGGTTTTGTCCCTAAGATATAATAAACATCACACACACAAAAATACCAAGCTTATTTTAATCATATCCTTGGAAAACTAGGTATTTCTGATAAAAATTAGTAAAAATCACTTCATATATAAACAAGGTACCAAAAATTTATAGAATTACTAAATCCTGTCTTCTTTTGGGGTGAGCTCCCTCACCTTGAGTGGCTTTACCTTTATAGCTTAAGGAAAATATTTTCTTTTAAAGCTCGATGGTTTTAACTGTTTCTTCTGAAGTCTGTGAGTCTGTTCTGGTTGTTTATGACATAGTCCAGATTCAGAGATATTAAGGGCACCTAATTCCCTCATAAAGAAGTATAAAGAAGGCAAGCATGTATTGGCAAGAATTTTCCAGGTGTTGACACAGCAGCTCCATTTTGTCTAATTCAACAGAACTTACTGACATGTGCTTAGAGAAGCCTCCATATTCTGTTGGCCACTGGGCCCAGGTAGTTCATGCCCATTATAGACTGTACCCTGGGGTGGGCATACCAAGCTTCGTGCTTGCTGCTGTGAACATCAGCAACCAGGAGTTGCTGTGGTCCACTGATAACTTAAGGATTTATTGACACCATGGTCTTACCATTATTGATTTTGTATGGTTTAGCCAGCTCTCTAATACTATTCTAGCAGGAGGCATCCTTTATTTTATCTTATTCCAGTTTGTTTACTTCTCTGCAGCCTTTAAGATACTGATCGCTCAAGGGAAACTGCATGGCAGTCAAATTGCTTGGGATATGCAGATCCCTCTAGCACTGAGAACAGGCTCTGGGAAATCTCCAGGTGAGCCTCTCTTCTCTTCCCTTCTTCCTTCCCACCCCCCATGCTCACTACTGCAGAAACTCTCAAAGTCATAGCAGCAGTAATTTTTCCTATCCAGAGAACTTACAATTCTCTAGAGTTACAATTGAGTTACAATTGAGACACCCAGGCCTTCCCATAGGAAAGGGGTGGGTGGTGGAAAAACAGAAATCCCTGCTCCTGAACTGTATGCAGGGGATGTGTAGTTGTGCCAGAAGGGAATTTCCCCACCCCAGCCTAATTTGTACCAATCTGAGACATTTTACCTCCCACTTCCCCCTTCCCCCACCTTGAATGGTATCTGTCAGGCTGCCTGGGCTGCTCTGCTGTCTAACTTCTGAAGGTCACAGCACAGAACAGTTCATTCTTCAGCAACAGTGACTTTGACTCTATTTCCTTGGCTTCATAGTCTCTAGTGAGGGAGGGAGTATATTTCCTCATAGGGGGGAGGAGAGAAGCAAGCAGAGTCCTCATTTCCTGACCGTGTCTCTTCTGGCCCATCAGCATCAGGGCTGGACCTGAAATGTGAGCAGAGAACCCTGATGTGTTAAAGCGCACAGTGCGACTCCCTGAACCAAGGCCGCCAGGCTGGCAGTAGGCAGCCCAGAGATTTGCATTCTCCCACCACCTTCCTTATAGACCAAACACAGCCATTGAGCACAACTGTGACAGCAGGAAGGGATCATCCCTACTCCACACAGCATACCTGTCATTTCCACCATCCACAAAGGAAGGGTAGTCTTGATCATTAACAAATGCAGCGTTCTCGGGAGGGTAGATGGTGTAGTACTGAGGAGGGCTCGGTGCTGCGGTCACCACCCCTCTGGGTGGCATGAGACCACAAGGGCTCACCACTGGCTGCAGGTAGGCAGTGCTCATGCCAGTAGGCTCTTGAGAGCCGTATGGAGGAGGGATGTACTGCACCACTGTGGCGCCGTGGAAGGTGATGGGTTGGTTGATACCAGTGAAAACAAACGATTGTCCACCTGCTGTCTGCTCGGAGTCCAGGACCCTTTCCTCACCTTCTTTGCACAGCTGGCAGGAGAGCATTTTGAACTTGCACACGGCAATCAGGATGAATGTCACCCCAACTGACAGCAGGATGGGCCCAAGAAGCTGGGTCCATTCAAAGTGGGAGACACCTTGGTATTTGATCCAGCCCATGACGGTGAACGTGATCCCCACGAGTCCCAGGAAGATGCCTGAGAAAAGCAAGGTGGCACCTGCCTTGTCATCATCAGACACCTGGATGTCAGCGGTGCTGGGTGTGTAAGGAGTGACTGAAAACACGTTGAGAGGGAAGTCCTCCAAGTGGCTGCTGCCCTGCTCCATCGTCCTCATGCAGTCACCCCACTTCCAGGAGGGGACAGGAATTGTATGAGTGCTGAAGAGCAGAGCAAAGAAATCACAGGTTCGGATTAGTTATAGAAGGACTTTGGGCTTCTGTGGTTAACAGAGTATAACAGGCAGAGACCTGAACTTTGTTTAGAAGAATAAAGGTCTGAGAAATGAAGCCTGAAGTTTTCTCATATATTGTCAACAATTGGAGGTCTCTGTTCTGCAATTCAATGACAAGGCTGCTCTCATACACATTCATTCATTCACTCATTCAAGTGTTTATTGTGCCTGTCTTATGTGGTTGCAGGTGCTTTTCTAGACACTTCCTGCACTGTTCCAAGGCCCTGTTTGCATCTGCCAAAACCAGGAAGGTAGACATGGCAGTGAGCTCCAGGCCCACTGGGGGTGCCGGGGCCCTTGATGTTTCTACCACATGCTCAGAAACCTAACCCAGTTTTCCTGCTGGGTCAGCTCATTGGAAATAGGCAGACAGCAATTTCTTGACTTTTATATTCTTTCCCACTTCAGGAATCTCCAGTTGTGATGAATGCTTAAACTTTCGTAACTCACAAAGCTCTGGGGTCCTGCTCTTTTCTGGCCAGCCCCACATGCCTTTTGCTTTCAGGATCTGCAGAATAATTCCAGCTGTGGGAGAGGAAAGACACCATAGGACACCTTTCCATGCACCGTATCACTGGCAGAGGCTGAATAAACACCAGGTATGACCTGGCTTCTTGGGGACACACACTCTGTGGCAGCAGTGCAGTCCCTGGTCTCCATGGTGAAGCAAACAGCATCATTTTCAAGGCTGCTCTGTTGTGCGACCAAACCCAAGCTGATTTAGAGAAGAAAGCTTGATTGTCAATGACATTATCTGTCATTCATAACTACAGAACGTCAACACGTCCCCATGAATGTCCACCTCCTCAGAATAGTGATGTTAGCCTTCTTCCTTTCCTAGACAGATCTCATCCAAACAAATGTCTGTCCTCAGTGACTAAATGTTGTATCAGCTCCCTCTTGCAGCATTGAGGAGAATGTCCTTGCCCTCTGGTCCTAAGGCAGGGCTTCCCAAACTTCCCTAATGATAAAGATTACCTGCGCCACTTTCTTAAAGGACAAAATTGGGAGTTCCCAACTCAGACCAACAGAACCACAATCTCCAGCAGGAGTAAGTGCCCCAGAAGATCCATCAGGAATCTCTGGAAACCCCACTCAAAGTTAATTCCAAGTGCTCCTGGGAGACCAGGGGACTTTTTCCCCCTACTACAGGACAAGGCCTTTAACCTCCAACTTCACTACCGAACATAGGAAAATAAGCAGTTGACCCCCTCAGGTATCTTCCCAGGTGTGTCCTCAAGCAGCAAGCATGGAGTGTTGCAGCAAGAATGTTGCAATAGGAGTGGTCTGTCCACTGAGATAGATCAGAGATCCAGGGGAGTCAGTTTTTCTCTTTAATCCTAATAATTCTCATGAGCTAGCCTGACATTCTTTTCAGGCTCTTAAACCCTGAGTTAACAATTAAAACAGTCCCTGGCATTTAGGAAAAGCTAGGCTGTCAAAATTGTTCTTTTAAATCATTAAGTTTATGTTTCCCATTTGTCTTTAGCTACACCCACTTGCAATTAAAAGAATAACTGGGAACACTGAAAGAGTAGGGGAGAGAAATCACCTTCCTGTAAACAGCCCACAAATATAAAACTGGAATAAATTTCAGAGCAGACAGGTCAGGAAATACTCCGATTATACTTTCAAGGTCAATATCCTCTCACTCCAGAAGCTCAAACTCTGCCTTTGTGGTAAGTAGCAATTAAGAAAAAAAAAAGGTAACAAACCAAATTCAACAGCATGTTAAAAGGATTACTTCATGACCAAGTGGGCTTTATTCCTGCAGTGCAAGGATGGTTCAACACACAAAAGTCAATTAATATAATACACCACATTAACAGAATGAAGGAGAAAAAACGATGATGACAGCACATGTTCATCTCCATTAATGCCAGAAAACAAAACTCATTGAGATTTATTGGACACAGGCACAATTTTAGATATTTAGTGCCTTTTCTCCCCAGTTCCTAAATGTAAAATCAGAACAGACATATTTGGTGATTGGCAAATCCCCATGTTGGCTCAGCTGCTATGGTAGGAAGAGCCAGGTACAAGTCCTTCCTTATCAAGATAAGAAAACAAAGACAATGCCACTTTCCTGGAGAAATTGCAGAGATCAGCATCACCATCAAAGATTCCAAATATCTCTGTCATGTCAGTATTTAACCCCCTGTAGAGGAGGCAGACAAATCTTGGAGAATGACTGTTTATTTCAGGTGGTGATTCCAATTGCAGCTAATATTCTAGGTGTGGATCTTAACTGGACTAAATCATTCACAGCCCTAGGTACCACATAGGCGGTGATTGTCCTGGCAAATGATTTTTTTCTACAGCAACTTAAAAGAACTAACTCTGTCTCTACTATCTACCAAAATTTTAATCAGTATAAATACACTGTCTCAAATGGCTTCTAGTCTCCATGATCAAGTAAGTCTCTTCAATTTTCAGATTTGCTTTTTATTATAGTGATGTCATGTGCAATAAAAACACCCAGTTTTCCCTTACAGTTTTTGTACAAAAATATTTGGCATTGAAACTTGAAAAAGATTTGTTAACTAATATTTGTGAACCCTTTCCTTTGTCTTTAAGGTGAGCAATTAATTCACTCATTTCATCCAGAATTTCACCCTGTGTACTGGTGGGATAGTTCTTCTTCAATGAATAAAAATAATTCTTCTACTCTGAGTTCAGAAAATCTGGCTGTTAAGTTTTTGAAAGTGTGTATATTCAATATACTATGTCCTTTTATAATAAAACTTACTTCTAATTAATTCCTTAAACAAGAAAATGCAAAGGCAAATTCTTTGAGGTGGCGAAAATGCAAAGGCAAATTCTTTGAGGTGGCATTCTCAATGGATGCAGTAGCTGCTGGAGATATCTCAGGGCCCCATCTAACTGACATTTTCTATGCCATTTGTTGTCTCATCAATGGGGCATGTCATCACAGACACAATGACTTTCCTTAAAATGCAGTTACAATGACAAATAAAAAGCAGTCAACTAGAATTAAATACTTAAAAGAAACAATGAAGATTGGTGAATCAGTCATTTAGCAATTTAGTTATTTAGCAAATCAACCTAGAGCCATTATACTACATAGAACAAAGACCTGTTAGGTCACTTTTATCCATGCTTTTATCAAAACATGAAAACTTAACCTCAGTTTCTCACTAATTGTCCAGATAAAGCTTTTTAGTACATTACAGTGTATCTTTTGATAACAGCACCCTTTTCAGGTTGGCTGGCCCTTTCAACTCATTTTTTTCCCTAGACTTGTACAGAGAAGCAAGCCACCTCCTTCGGAATCAGTTGTGACTCTGACCTTACAGAAAATTCAAGGTAGTGTTACATTTACTGGTTTGATTGTGGTTTATAATTAGGATGGACTTTGCTTCTCAGTGACAACTTTGTATATCTACTTTCAGGCTTTTTAAAATTTTTTTCTTGCAAGCATACACATTTCATAGAAATGAAATCACATTAAACTTTATTATTCCTCAACTCCCTTTTTACCTAACAGCTCATGTCACCCTTCCCAAATCCATACAGTTTATTTTTTAATATTCTGACAAATGTGGTTGTTTGGTGCAATATAGCTGGGCATTTCTCAAGCAAGAAATATCAAGATATCAAACAGAGATTGTAAGGCTGGAGGCACTGGAGGGAGGAAAGTGAGGACAGTGCAAACAGAACAAAGACAGCACCAAGTAGCTCTGTGCCATATAAGGAAGGAACGGACAGCTCTTCCGGGATTCCAGTCCCGTGAAGTGCCAACAAACCCCAGATGCAGACCCCCTCCATCCGGAAGGAGGAGACCTCTGGCTGTCCATCACCTGACCCTGAGCCAATAAAAAATTCCCCACATACCCCTGGCTGGCCCACTTCCCCCTCCCCTCCCTGTGCTCATAAAAATTCCCACCCATCTGGTTAGGGGCGACTTCTCCAGCCTGTGTTTTAGACTGGTGAACCTCGCCCGGAATTGCGCTCAAATAAACTGCCTGGCCCTTTGTTGCCTCTCACAGCCTGCTTATTTCGGTTAGAATTTATCTTACAGAGATCAAGGATTAAGGTAATTTTTTGCCACAGTAATAAAACAATCCATAATCTGAATAAGAATGCAGGGTAAACAATTTTTTTAAAGTTAGTAATGGATGGTTGTGGCAAGTGTATAGGAAAATAGGCATCTTTAAATGTGCTTGGGGATATTATTACTTGGTATGGCTCCTTTTTTGTTGGAGAGCAATATGGTGACATCTATTAAAACTTAAAGGCACTTACAATTCTCCTAGGAATGTGACCTACATATTTACTTTAGACAAAAAATATCTTAGCAGAATAGATAATGAATTACTGTCTGTAATAACAAACAAACAAACCCTAAATGTCCATCAATAGTGGACTGGATAGAAAGTCATGGTGATAACGAATGGGTGTGGGCCAGTGTTAAAGAGCAAGACAGGCTATGAGATAATCTCTAAGATGTGTTGTTTATCGAAAAAACAGCAAAATGGTATATTCAATATACCATTTGCAATGGGAGAGGCGTATGCTTACCATTGAATGTATGTGTATATAAATATCACTGAAGGGCTATCTGGTAAGTTGGAGAAGAGAACTGGGAGGGCATTTCAGTTATCTATTGCTGTATAACAAATCACCCCTAAACTCTGTGGCTTAAAACACAATTCTGTAGGCTGAGTTTTGCTGAGAGTCGGGTAGGGCTGTGGTCATCTGTAAGCCCCACTGGTTAGACATCCAAGACACTTCACTCACATGGCTGAGTTATGCTGGCTACTGTGGGGAGCTCAGCAGAGGGTGACTACCAGGCCTGCTATTGTGGCCCGTCCATGTGATTTCTCTTAGTGTGGAGACCGGTTTCCAAAGGGCTGTCCTAAGGGCAGGTGTTCCAAGAGTCGCAAGTTGAAGCCACAGCCTCCTACGACCTAGCTTTGGAAGTCCCAAGATATCATCT